CACAGTCTTTTATTTTCCCCTTTGATTTTGGAGGCTTCAAGGATCTAAAAATGTTGTCGTGCTTTGAAAATGGGCGTTTATTCTCCCCAAGTTCTGTCACTGCAAAAAATTCCTAGGAATTGTTTCATTTTACTCTTGACATAAAAAGCCTTGTAAAAATGAGCCTTTTTCTGGATTTCACAAGACAATAATAGCAAATTCTACTATCAAAATAAATAAGTATACTCAAAGAGAGGCAACAACAAAAATGGCTTGAAGTTTGCCAACTAAGCTTTTGCTTCTGTATCCACTAATGATGCCCTAATAAAAATTATCTGGAAATCACTTTGACGTGTTCTAAATGCTATACCTTAAAAAATGATTATGTGGAAACTGGGGAAAAAAAAAAAAAAAAAGAAAAACACATTTTAGAACTGGAAACAGTTTGACCTGCTAAAAAAACCCTTGTATTTCCACGACTTCCATCCTTCTGCTTGTGGCACAATTGTCTATATAAAACTAGTTTCTCTACCTGTACTAATAAAATTCTTTTTTTTGCCTTAAATCATAAGGCTCATTTTACTGCTGTCTAAACAGACCATAAAAAGGAAAAGATAAATTCTAGCCAGAATATTTTCCCAGTTTCTCAGGCCAAAGTTGAAGTTAATTTTTAGAAAGAGAATAAAATTAGGAAACCACAAATTAGAGTATACGTATGTGTTAAACTTTGAGTTTATTGCTAGTGGCAAATAGGACAACCTCCCTTTCAATCATTTTTGTAGGAATCTGCTGTAAAATTCTCATTTTCAACTGATCCTAATGGTTTCAAAGTTAAGTTTGTTTATTCCACTGAAAGTTTACAGAATGGACCTGTCTCTTATTTTTGTTTCCAAGTTTAGCATCCTGAGTGGGAGCACAGACAATTTGGGGGTTCCTGTGAGTTTGTTTTTGTGAGTACTGGTAGTTCTGCAGTTGCTGTGATTAAATGTGCTTCCCTGATCTTTCCTTCTCCCCCCATCCGCCCTCCATTCCTCACTAATGGTCTGAGAGAAAAGCAAGAAGGAGCAGGGGGTGCCCAGAGAGTTGTATCCTGTTCTAATCACAGCCATGCAAGTCCTTCTTTATTTCAATTAATTTACTTTGCCTTTATGAACCTGAGAGACTGACTGTTGCTTTCAAAGAGGCTGACATTTCACTCATCTGAAGGAGCTTGGAATGTGACAGGGGAAAGGGAGGAGAAGTAAATCAAAGCAGATAGCAATTCTCCAGATGTAAAGTATTTTTCTTCTCCTCTATTTTTTTTCCACCAGAAATGTCAGAAAGTCTGCTGACATTTTAATTCCTTTGTGATAGGCTGGGAGCTGAGAGCCAAATCCTGCTGCCACTGCAGTCGAAAAGATTTTTCCTATCGACTTTAAAGGGAGCAAACCAGTCTTACACTCTGGAAAAAAAAAAAAAAAAAAAAATCCAAATAAGCGAACTATCAACAAACTGTAACTAAAACTAAATGAAATGTATTCTTATAACATCTTGAGATCAGTTACAGACTGAAACTGGCAAGCCTTGTTGGAGTTTTTTCTTCTCAATTTGACCATAGCATAACAAAAACCAGTTAGTAAGACTGACTGGATTGGAAGTAAGACTTTGCGGTTGTTGTGTTTTTTTTCTAAATCTGGACCCTGTTGAAAGTGTCGCAGTACTATTCCATGCTCTCTTCTACTCACCTAAGTTTCAAGATACCCTATCTGCAACCTTAAAGATTTCATTTAAACGCTAGTTGACTTACATAATCGGTGCATATCATTGAAAACTCTATTAAACACTGTGATCCTGCTTTTAGTGATATGTTTGGCAAAAAAATCTCATTATCTTTAATAGGAATACACTAGTGTCCATAAAATAAAGGGGAACCTTCTATTCTATTTACATTAGTTGTGCATTGATACAACTCCAATGAGCTCTACATGCATTTAGCAAAACAGCAGAGCAGGCTCAGAGCAGCAGCACAGTGCTGAGAGAGTCAGGTCTACAAATTCCACCTACAACAATGGCGATCGTATATTTCCTTCTCTGTGTGGTGCACTTAGACATTTACTTCGTGGTTTTAGTATCATAAATTTATTTTCCTTTACAGAGTTGTTCCCTTATGAAGTATTCATTTGTAAAGCATTAATGTTGTATACAGGACTGCTAAAAACCAATGGAGTAGACATATTTGCTTAATAGTTTTATTCTTTTTTTCAGGTTCTATAATCATATTTCATCAACTGGTACAACAAAACACGTTTCTATATAAAAACCAAAATAAAGAGGGCTTCTTGAGCTTGATGCATGGTAAATTTATTTGGTTTATTCTTGTTTTATTGTTAAATATTATATTGCATTTGTTTAAGCAGACATCAGGTATATTGTGATTTCTAGCATTCCACACACAGCAGCTTATTGTAGTGTCCTTTAAATATGGGAAATAAAAATGTTTTCAGTTTGCTATTAAAAAAAAAAGGAAATGAAGAAAGGGTACTGCTATATTACATGGCCCAGGAAATATTGGCAGCATGCTCTTTGGCTTTCATCCGTAGAACTGCAATGCTGGAGGACCTCCTTTCAAACTCCGGCTTTGTTTCAAAAGCATGTCCATTGGTTGCCCCAGAAAGTAAAGAGTCAGTGAAAAAATTATTGAGGGGCACGTGGCTGAACTGATTCTGGTGGTTTGAAAAGCCTGTGTAGCCAGAATCTGTCCGGGGTGAATGGGAATAAGGTGTCATACAGGAGGACGTATCTCGTGGTAGCATGCAGGAGGTAACCACAGAACCGCTAGCCGCATTGCCTGCCCACAGATTGTTCTGAATCTGGAACATATAAAATAAATAAGATTAAATTTAGATAGTTCATCTTTTGTTTTCTGCAATGCTTGGTTTGCTTTACTTCACACATCCATTATTAGTTCTCCTCTAAAACAAGCAACAAGTACTTTACTAGTTCTCTGCAATCATATTAGAAAATACTGTGAAGACATTACCTGAGTCAAAATACTGGATCATTCACTTAACAGCAAGGGCTGCTGAATCATATACCCTGCACTGTCATCTGTTTGCTCTGTGGCTCTACCCTGAGTGTTTACCATTGAACCTCAGGATGCCATCAGCTCAGCCAGTCAGTAATATTAGTGGAAGCACAGAACTGACTTCAAAGAAAACGTGTCAAAACAGTGTACAATATCATGGCTGTTTTCACCATAAAAGCTCCTCCTCATCAGAAAACTTTCTTAGTGTAATGGTAGGAAACAGTGTAAAAGGGTGAACAAAACAAACCAGGATTTCTCAAGGAACAAAGCCCAACAGGTATTTCCAAAATTAAATATTGAGAAGCCTTGCTTAATTACTTTAAAACAAATTAATCCATAAAATACAGGCATTGTTGATAATACATCCAAGAGTTTTTCATAAAGTTGTTTCAAAGATGTTTTTAAGATAAAAATTCCTTTAATGATGTTTTTATACGAAATTATACTTGAGGGCGTTTCTGTTTCAGCTCTCAGCCTTAACTGGCTGCACTGTGTGTCCCTGGAAAACGTTGCATGACAGACTAGGAGACAAACTTTGTGGTTACCAGCAATGTCTGCTGAAGATCTGGAGTAACCACGTATTCAAGCTTTGATGTGTAATGCCTTCTATACTTGGCAGTCACTTAAAGCTTCATTCTGAGTCTCAGGCCTTCTCCTATCATCTATGTATAGATGCTATTTATGGATAGGTATTTTTCACTTGTTTGTTACTAGATGAGCAGACAGAAAGATTTTCAAGGCCTAGCACAAGTCAGCTCCTGTCATTATCTCAGACTGTGCATGCTTTCATTCCTCCTCTATTCGCTTTGCTTTAATCAAGCTTCACACTCAGTAGCTGTCCTTCTGTCTTTTTAAACTCTCTACTCTTTATATCTATCAGTACTATATGGATATAATTTCTGACATATTCTGACTTCCTCGGTCATTTCTCACTTGCATTCACCATTATAGAACATACAGCTTCATATTTCTTCTCCTCTTTTACTTACATCTCTTTCCTGAATGCTGATTTTTTTAAAAGAACATACAAATATCATGATACAAGACATTCGTAGCCCTCATTCACAGTACAGAACTTCTCAGCCAGTAACTATACCCTTTTTTACTTTCCTAAATTTGTCTTCATCCTCAGAATCTGTTGTCTGTTCAGTATATCATTGCTCTGATGCACTGGGATTGAGCCCACATGTCTTTGTTCTCTGCTATACATTGGAGTAATTGCAATTACTCTTCGGTTAGCACTGTAAAGTCAATTCCCACTTCAAACTTAATTTTGCCTTCACATTCCAAATCCATAGACAAAGGAATTTTGGCTTTAAGATATGTAGGTTATCTCTCTAGTTGACTGATTTTTTTCTGCCAAATTAGAGGTCAGGGGAAGTAATGAATTATGACAGACATACAGGCACACAGAATGAAAACATGTTTCTAATGCTGAATTGTTTTTCTTCTCATTGTCCTATTACTTTGCAACAGCACATACCCACCAAACCACCAACAAGCTACAGAGATAAATTATGGTTCACTGAACTCATCTAGCTGAGATCTAGTGCAGATAGCACGGATGAGACAAAGTCTTATTCTAAAAGTTAATATTTTGAACAGCTGTATTAGCAGGGGTCATCAGGAGCTGACAAACTAATTTGGGCTCCTTGGCAACATCAGCATCAAAAAAGAACCAGTACATGCTTCATTTTGTTTTCCTGCAGAAGGCTGGGGAAAAGTCACAGTAACAACACATCTCCCCAAATTCTTGGTCTGCCCAACTCCTTGTTCACACAGACATGCACACATACAGGCATGCACACACTTCCACACGCCCTCATGTGAATGCAGCTTGCCTTTCTACACACACACATATGCACAGCTAGTGGGGCACACCTCAGGCATCTGCTCCTGCATATCTTAGGTGGTCTGCTGAGAGGTAATGGAGTGAATAAGGTGCCTGGGGAAGGATATCAAGGATTTTTCCTCCTTCTTGTGGGCCTCCTGAGATCTACAGGAGGAAAGAGACTCTAGTGAGAGTTTCAGAACTTTCCAGTTCCCATCCTTCCCTCCTCCCTTCAGCAGTTTTTAATAGACTCTCAAACATCCACCCATGGGAGACCCTCTGCAGCTTGACGTGATCCTCAGCTGCCTTATTAATCCTTAATTAACCCACCTGAGCCAGTTTTGACTTATAATCAGACAAACTTTTTTTTTGATCTTCAGAGAATAGGTGGTTTATCTGGGGATTAAAGGACATATCCAGACCAATGTGAACCATTGTCTTGCCTATGAAAGTTTGTTGCATTCAACCACACAGAACATTCTCAAAGAGAGCAGTACATCTGTCATAGCTCAGGATTCAGGGATTCCTGTGTGTCCTGTTGCCTGGAAGGTGTCTCAGATCCTGCTACAGATTTACAGAATGTGACAAGAAGGAAACAAGGGACGCTGAAAGAGCTGGAAAGTGTGGTAGTTAAGTGCACAGCAACCAAGAAGTCATCTACTAAGACTCATAAGGCTTACTGCCTTCTCACACTTAATGACTTTGGACTCACATAACATGTGGTTAGACTACAGAGGAGAGTAGTAAAGAAGATAGCAGCTGAAAGCCTACAAAATCCAGAGACCATCTCCACTTCACTTCAAAGCCTAAGCTGCACACATTCTGTCTCAGTCATGAACTGGGAAAATCAGAAACCCAGTCATCCATACAAAAATCATTGTCTTTTTTGTTTTTGTTCAGGAACACTAAAAACTTTTAATTGTACTTTATTGTATTTCATGGTTACATATGCATTCCTTGAAGCAGCAATGACAGATTAAGCAACTGTTGGGGTTTTCTTCCCCTTTCTTCCTACAAAACAAATCACGCATTCCTATTTCCATGCTGTTCCACTTCAGCTTGTTTTACTGGTACAACTCTTTACTGAATTGAAACAGGGAGCTGATAAAGCTAAAAAAGAATCCAGAAAAAAAAAAAAGATCTATTTCAAAGACGTGTACACAAAACCACATTCTTTTTGATGGTATTTCCAGGCCAATGGTTAGTCTCAGAATCTTCACAACAGGGTAAATTTGCCCAGGGAGAGACTAGTTCATCTATGCAACTTCTAATACAGGAGCTAATTCTGAAGGAGCTCATCATCCCAAAACTAACTCAGATGCAACAAAGTCGCATTTATCTGACTTACTAAGATGTCTTTCTAAGAAACGCTATGCCAAATGCTGCAGTCACCCAGGCTGCACAGATATAATTATGGGAAGAATTTTCAAAAAAACTCTGTTTAAATAGGAACATGCACGAGATTGCCTTTAATACTGTCATGATGGGAAGACTTCAAAAGGTTCAGAGGCCCAGTTTGAAAGTGCCCAATAACCTATGTGGTCTGGAGGTATCACAAAATCACTCTTCCCTTCCATATTTCTAGTAGTTTGGTTTGCAGTAAACTAAGTTTAGTACCACCACTTTTCCTGATATTTTTATCCTAGACAAATCTCTTTCAATTTAGCTTCAGTGAGATTGCACAGGTGTAAATGAGAACAGAATTCAGCTGCAAATCCTAAAATACACCAATGTCTTGTTAAAGAAATGTGTGGACAAGCTATTTATTCCTAAAATTTTCAAAGGGGAGCCCTAGGTTTCTTCTTTAGAGGAAGGAATCCAAATTAGGAAATTTAACTTCAGAAATGTCACAAGATGCTAGGAAAGCTTTACACCTTCTCTCATGAGACAGTTATGCTTTTCAAAAGAATGTTTCAGTCATATAAATGTTCTGTTCATTTTAGTTAAGTGACTTCACATTTGATATTAGATTTTAATTTCTTAGCAAGGATTTACAACATAAATATTTTATAGTGAAATTTAGGTGCAGAAGGTATTCCTGTATTAAAAATAAATACAGTAATGTTTTACAATAAGTCAAAATTATCAGACCTTCTTCTGGTATGTTAGAAGGAAAAGGGACATTATGTACATGAATTTAAAGAAAATATTTTTCCTCTTAAACTCTTGTGTGATCCATGAACTATATAAAAGCCAATTCAGAGACTGTGAATGAGGCTATACATACAGCACATCTCTGGTTTCTGTTAACATCACAAACAACTTGAGCTTTGCTCTTGTGGTTACCATGAAATTACCAGAGCCCTTCAATATATTTACCTACTGTATGTTTTATACACACACACCCCCCCACACACACCCTTCCCGATAGAAAAAAAAAAAAAAGTAGGATTTCATAGCTGTGACAAGAACATAACTGGAGAGTTATGTTTGTTAACATGGTTATGATATCATTTCCTAAGCATATGACTTTCTGCTTGAAACTGCAGAGGAAAATTAGCTGAGGTAATTGGTCATCCCACTTGGTGTCATTGCCTTTTTTCTGCTAAAATCTCAAGCTCCTGGAGCTTTAGCCTTCTTACACAGCACCTGGAGAAATCATATAAACTCATATTTCCAAATTTTCTGAGAGCTATACTGTCATTTGCCCAGTTTTGGTTCTCCCATCACCAAATGTCTTGTCTCATGCTACCTGAGTCACCTGCCTATCCAGACTGGAGTCTTTTTCCAACAGTCACACATATAAGACACACAGCTTCTATTGGAGTGGACATCTGGTTTAATCCTTCGTATGGGAAACAAAATGTTAATCTCTTTTAAGATCTCTAGTTATGAAGTAATAAGTTATTATTGTTGTTGTTGTTATTATATTACATAATATATGCTATCTTATGTTATATGTTATTATAATTACTCTAGTAAGTAATTAGAAACTACACATTGACTCTGTTTTC